ATGGAAAAGCATTTGTTCAGTATGAATTAAAACTCAGTTATGGATACTCATCATGGAAATTAGAAGTCCTTGAGCTATAAGAGACATCGATTTCTGCAAACCTCTTCTTCGATTCCTTTGCGAGTATTGATGTATTTTTTTAAATTTATGGAATAGCAAAGAAGCAATGAACCAAGCTACTTTCGATATTTTTGTTCGATTATGGTTGATATCCTGGCTGATCAGTGGGTATAAAGCCCAGTCAGTCTCTAGCGATTTCCTTACTAGCTGCCAAGGACACCATCAAACGAACTTCACTCAATTCCACTTTGTTTTAACCCTTTTCTCACGCCCCAAATATTCTGGTTTCGAACATTGATGTGAGTGTTGTAGGGACTGCATCTGGCTATATTGTAACTTTTCCATATCTCTGTATTTTCCCCATTCAATACGTGATACTCAAGATAGCGAGATAAACGCTACGTCTTATGCTGGTCATCCGTTATTCCATAGGTTTCATTTAGCGAACCAGTGTAGCAGTGTGGTGTGCGCAGCAAGACAAAATGAAGTCAATGTTTGCCATACCTTAGCAGTAGTCGGAGCAATGCCTTCCAGGACGCCAGCAAAGAGCAATATGATCACCTTAGCGAGGAACTGCAAAAACTTGTATTAGACAAAGAGACAGGTAACACGGCCTACAGGTACCGCCCAGCCATACGCGGCACTTTGTCGCACAGCAAGAAAAGCGATCCGACCTCATGAAACTGGTTGAGGCATATCGGAAGCATGCAGAACACGAAGTGGATTGATACGACGGTGGCGAATCTCCATAAAGACGCAACAAGCAGGGGCGTGACCTCCCAAATCGAAAGACGAAAGACAACAGGAAGACCATAATTGCACTCAGTCATAATCTGCCGTCAAAATGAATGACTGTATTTTAGCCACAGAATAGTCATTCCAAACTCACTCCGATAAGCCATTTTGAAACAGGCATAAGAGTCATCGGGAAATGGCAAGGATGAAGATGCTCGCAAGAGGATTCGAGGCACCATCCGAGACATCGAAGAAACAGTCATCGCTGCAGGGAATTTTAGGAAGTCGCAAAGATTTCTGAGCTTTTGGAGAATGGAAAAAACTCCATGAAGTCGGATCCACATTGGCTACGCAACACTACTATATAGAAAAATGTATCTCATCGTAGTTTACGCTTACTCTAGGTAGAAGGAAGTATTTGAAATGTCGTTGTTATCAATTACTGCTACCCTGAAAGAACTCGGATTACTTTTTGCACGATTCGGAAACCCTCAAGTAAACGTGTCGGAAAATGGAACACAGTTCACAGCGAAGGAGCTTCAAGACTTTTGTGAAAAGCGAGATAATCAGCATATGCGCGCACTGCCGTTCGATCCACAGAAATGGATGAGCCGAAAGATTTGTAGATACTTTCAATAGAGCTTTCCAGAAAGTCAAGGAAAGATGGAGAGAAGCTCGCAGATTTCCTGCAATGCTACCGACGAAGCCGAACATGTTAAATCCTGGACAACGTTCACCATCTGAAATGTCCCTAGGAAGTGAGATTAGGACGTCAATAACGTTGTTGGAGGAAGCAAACAAAAGGAAAGGATTG